CGCCGCTATTAGCAATGAGTTTCCTTCGATCCACTCCTCGCAGTTCGAGGTAGGGACATCGGAGGGTATTGGACTGGGACCGGGACCGGGACAAGAGGAGGAGCAGGAGCAGCAACAGCACCAACAATACCAGCAACAGGGATCCCCTCTCCCCGGTTCAACTTCCCCTCTCACCGCCGCCGCTGCCGCTACCACTGCTTCCATCACCGCAATCCTAGCGTCCATCTCGTCATCTCCGCTTTCTTCCCCTCCTCCTTCTCCTCCTCCTCCCGCTCCCAGGCCGGCAGAAGCGCCAAGGAGATCCGCCCGCCTCCTCTCCCGGGACGAGAAGAGGAAGATCGAGGACACCAAGCAGCAGGACGAAGGCGTCGTCGCTCAGACCGCGCCTGCGGCTGCGCCGGCGCCGGCAGAGAGGCGCATCAAGAGGGCTAGGAGGGCTGGTCCTTCCCCTCCCCTTCCTCTTCCTCCTGTGCGTAAGGGAAAGGAGGTGGAGACGAAGAAGAAGAAGAAGGAGAAGGAGAAGAGAAGGGTGCCCGCTCGTCGTCCCCATCCTCCTGCTGCTCCCGCTCCAGCTCCAGTTCCGGGTATAGCGGTGCTCGTTCCTCCCCCCTCCTCTCCTCCTCCTCTTCCTCCTGTCGTCTCTGCTCCTCCTGCGGGAGTGAGACGGAGTGCGCGTCTACAGGCGCAGAGACGGGATGAGGGTGAGGCGGAAGACGTTGCTGCTGCTGCTGCTGCTGCTGCGGTTGCGGCTGAGAAGGCAAAGAGGGCTTCGAGGAAGGGTGGCGGCAAGGACAAGGGCAAGGGCAAGGGAACGGGGAAGGAGAAGAAGGGCGTAGTGGTAGCGGGGCGGGTGGAGAAGAAGAAGAAGGTGAACACCACTTCCCAAATTGGGGGTAGGGATATGAATGTGAATAAGAACAGGAATAAGAACAAGAACAAGAAATAAAGTGAAGGAGAGGGAAGCGGGAAGTGGGAAGAGAAGGGCGAGGAAAGGAGTATGTAACCAGAGGAGTCAGAATTGCCGGGTCCTGATCGTCGTCGAGGCTGTCCGTTATTCTGTGTCTGTATATGTGCCCTTGTCGTGTCGGGCTTTGCGTCTTGTCATGTCTTGTCTTGTCTTTTATCTTTATCTTAGGGTTGCGACGATCCAGGCGCTCCTGGTGAGGGAGATCGGAACCGTACTTCCGGACCGGGGCGGAGGCTCGCTCACGGTCGTTGCTGTGTACGGGTTTCGGATACACTAAACGAATAAAGTGGGAAATGGGAAATGGGAAAAGAGTTGAGAGATGCAAGCAACGGGTAACGTGGAACCGCAGATAGGGATTGCGAGTCAGACAGCCCTAACCAATCAACACATCGTCAGAGCAAAGTAAACCAACGTTGATGAGCGAATTTTCTCTGTTCAAAATCTGTACAATACTTTCAAGAGCAATCGAAGTCGTCCGTCAGTACTCCCTACACCATACACATGCCCCGCCTTCCCCGATTCAAAAGTTTTCATCATGGCCACCAATATGCGGTGGTCGGATCAATCACGATTGATGACCTTCAGACTCCTCCTCGGACTCAACAAGACGCCCAAGAAGGTTGGTTCCTGCCCATCCATCAGATCGTCCGTACTGCTCCTCGCCGTGTTCAACCCGCCACCGTTGACCGAGTTCGTGCTCACCCTGTCCAAGCCGCCCGCAAACGTATTCGTCGTCGTGGGCACGGCATGATACCCTCCAACCCCTCTCCCTGCACCTGCACCTGCACCGCTTCGAGCATTGCTGCTGCTGGTGGCACTGGTGGCGTCTAGGCTGGACTTGCCGAGCGGGGAATCATTCCCCTTTCCGGGTCCTAAGCCAAGGACGGCGGGTGCGGCGATGCCGAGCGATTGGCGTTGCGACATGGCGACGTGACGCTTGTAGAGGGCGAGTTGGCGACGGTAGACCCAGGCGCAGAATCCGAGGTAGCCAGCTAGGAGGGCGAAGAGGCCTGCCACTACTCCAGCGACGATGGCGGCGATGTTGGGTCCGCCGCGTCCGGAACCGCCGCTTCCATTGGGTCCGGCGCCTGGTGTGACAGTCTCTGTAGCCACGCTGCCATCACCTTGGGTGACGGTGTAGATGATTGGCCTTCCTGTCGCAAAAGGTCCGGCGGTGACGGTTTGGGCAGGCGCAGTAACGGTGGCAGATCCCATTGCGTTGCCTCCGATAACTTCTTGGACTGCTTGGGGAACGGTGTATCCGTAGCTGCCGTGCAGAGCACTGGGATCCTGTTCTTGAGATATTTGCTGGTTCAGTTCGTTGCCACCTTTCAGTGCCGCATAGTTCGTGTTCCACTTCAAACTCGAGGTATTGAAGACATATACACCAGGAGAATCGCAGGAAAGATCGGTTCCCACGTAACCACCCACGACGACCATCTGACTGTTCCACATAGTGCAGGTGTGACCTGATCGACCGGGCGGAACCGGTTGGTCCCTCTGATCGACCTGAATCCAGGTAAAACTGGGGATGCTTAATATCCACATGTCATCGTATTGTTCCTGACTCCCATACGGAAGAAGTTTCTGCCCGGCAAAAAGATGAACCTGAACGCTACTTCCATCTGCCGCACTCACGGCAGCTGCGCACGGATTGACTCGATATTCAGGGATGGAGCCGGTGGTTGCCTGTTTGTACCATTTTTGCTCAGCGATATCATAGACATCGATGACATTCATCTGCGTATACGATGTGTTCGTGCCCCCGGCAAGACCGAGCAGGATGCCTTGCTCACTGTAGCCAGGCACGTAAACAAGAACACCATCAGCACGTTCTGTAAACCCGGCAGAATCTTGCACTCCATCGTCAGTGAGATTGCGCCAAATGCCATCCTCGCCAGCAGGTCGGCCGTCGTTCACGGCAGGGTTGGAGTAGCCTGGAAAGGTAAACTCGAGGAGAGATCGAAGATATACCCGGAAGACACTGATGTCCCAGCCAGGTGTGGTGAAGTGATCGACATGACCTCCGAAATACAAGCCACGGCCTAGGTGAGGGATGTTGACACCCGATCCTTCGGCGGAGCGCTCCACCGGAACACCGTCAACGGTTCTTGGATCGGGATGTTCTTCCCATGTCGATGATGCGATGTCATAGGACCACAGACTGTATGGAACGGGAGATGCTTCCGGATTATCAGAAAATTCGCCGCCATAGAGATACAGCGTGTCTTCGGAATTCCATAGGAAACCATTGGAGGTTGGAGGTGGGCCGGAAGGTTGAGGCAGACTTTCCATGGTAGGTGAAGATATCTGCCAGCCTGTTTTAAGATCTACCGCGAGAAAGTTGTTGTCTGAGACGATTAGCCAACGCACCCGTATGACTTGGTGTCAACTCACTCCACGTGTTACTGTCCTGATTGGAGTCCCTTTTCGCCCGACCGCCATATAGATATAGTGTCCCATTAACCACTGCTGACTGGTGTGACCAACGGAGACAGGCGTCTGCAGGATTATCTTGTCGTGGTAATAATTGTGTAGGCGCACGCTCAAGATACCGTGCCGGGTTAGGAGCAATAGGGCCAGCTTCTGCGCCGATGCTAGTCGTACCAGCGTAAAACAATGGGGACATATGGAGTACAGGTATCATGATAGCAAGCACAACAGCCAAAAGGGATAGACGTGAGAGCACTGCTGCCGATGACCTGTAGTGATGCCATGTGGTGGTGGGGATCGTGCACCGTATTTCTGGTTTCATGTCTCCTTCTTCCTGCTGCTCAGCTTCACGTATGTCGACCTGACTCCGCCACCTGACACGCGAGCCTGGCCTCGTGGCTATAAGGTGCTCCAAGTTGGAAGTTGTTGTTTCTGCTGATCCATCGAGTCCAGTCTCCGTGAAGGCCGACTTGTATCGATTTCGAATGCGACGAGATGAAGAATTGGTTTCAGAAGCGTCTACATTGGAGGATTGATGTCGAGGGCTTTGTGAAAGAGATTCGGGTGGCGGCAAGCGAAAGCTGCTAAGATCAGACGAGTCTTGATCAGGATTGAGATCGATGGAAGCCATGACGGGTCGATTCTGGAGTTGAGAGATATATGTGCCGCACGCAAGATAGCAAGGCGATTAGCTTGGAAGAGTTCAAGAAATGAAAGTCATTAGTTCGTAAAAACAGATCCAATGCGGCCAGAGCGTGCAACAGAGTAATTGCTGAGATGGTGACCAGGAGCTGAAGAAGACAGACTTGAGCGGCGACGAGATAAGTCGATCACTCTTCGTAAGGACCTAGCAAATCTCCCTGAGCCACAAAAGTGGAAGATTGCTCAGTCCCGTCTGTGCAAGACAAGACCTGTTATGATGTAAGTTGCACGATTTAAGCAGGGGCACCAGGCCACAAAAGGCGGTTCGAAACCAGCAGCACGCAAACTTCGTCCAGTGGAAAAGTGGGGTTTGCAACCGGCGCCACGCTTTCCGGACGGGATTCACTCATCGCATTCACGGTCAAGGTCCAAGTTGGTAGAGACCGGCGTCGTGGCAAGGTTTCCCTAAACTGTACATTTCTCCGTTCGACGTACATAGTAGAAACCTCGAGCCAATTGTTGTTGGCCAGTGCCTTTAAGACTGACAGGGAGCCGGCAATTTCTAGTCCTTGTGTGACGTAGGACAGCCAACGGTTATTGGAGCATTGGCAAAGCCACCAGCGCCATGTTCGAGGAGTAGCTTGGAACTTGCCGGTTCTGCTCGCTTAAGGAACATTTCCCATGAAGAGATATACGGTAAAGTTGCCCAGTCATGGTAGATGAGGTGCTGAGATTCACATGTAGAAAGTAGGATTTGTATAAACCACCACTCGATGCATGGGTAGATAATGAGGGTCACCCATCTTAAGTCCAGTCAGGACGACAACGACGACTGACGACTGACGACTGACAAATTGCATTCTGACGCAGTTGCCTTTAGTACGGCACGTGGCTCGGATAAATACAGCGTAGCGGAAGTTCGCTTCAAAGAGTAGAAACTGCTTGGCAAGTAGCGTGCTGCCTACCAGCCCAGGGCATAATAAGGCAACAAGAGGCTCGAGCGTTAAAGCCGGTTCAAGCCAATGTTTCCGCATGATAGTTGGGAACCTCCATTTTCAGTGCGTCTCCGGAGCAGCCCATGCTTCTGCAGCCAACACGAACACCTTCTCACCAATCAACAGAGCAGTCTGGCTCGTAGCTAAAAAAACCGAGAGTCCTTCAATGGCGGCAGATAAAACTTACGCTGAAGGTGTTGCAACCAACGTTCTCTGGATAGATGGAAAGATCTGCTACTTTGAGATTCTTGACCCCATCAAAATTGAGACGCTCGTCGAGAACACCATGCTTGCCAATGCTGTTCCTTCTTTTGGTGGCATGCTGCAGGTACCTAGAGAATGCCATGTCGTTTCTACATGTTTCTTGGTCCACATCTTAACATGAGCGATATCTTCTCTGCTATACTCTAGCTCTTCGCGTGTCTCCTTCGCGTTACTGTTCAACGTGCTCGGCTCGGGTGGCTTTGCAGACTCGACAGGCATAGCTATTGCTAGCCAGCACCCTTCGTAGCGTTCCGCAGGAAATGGAAGAAGATTTATCCCAAGAACCCAGCTGAATACCTGAAGAGAGATGGTTTGGGCCAGCGCAAGCATTTGTCGTAGCAAGATTCATGTCTTTGGCACGAACTGCAGAGTCAAAGACAATGAGCGGGTGCATGCTAGTGACTTCACCGGCATACTTATCCATTCTTCGTGCCGTCCCTCGTGACTTGATGTAGACCCATACCATCGGAGCCATATCTCGCTTGTCATTCATGAAGCCCTGGACGTGTTAACGAACATTTAGAGCCAGTTAAAGACGACGCTGTACGTGCCGCATCAAATTCAGGGGCCTCGTAAGGGTCAGGCGATTTTATGTGGGTGGGCCCTTGGGAGAAATTATACCAAGTGTTGAATTGTTAGTATGAATGTCAAATATGGACAAAGTTGACAATTTACTCCAAGAAGTGGAACATGTTGAAGAACTTCCCAGGGGGCACGAGCATATGGTCTGTTTCGTCAGCATGGTCGCACACAGCAGTCCAAGTATGACACGCACCTCCAAACCATCCCGATATGACTGAATAGTGCATGACTGGCTTGTCCGGTTTATCCTTGAAATAGCTCTTCCATCCGCTCCCAAATTCAGGGGTCGGCCATTTCTCCATCTCTTTCAACTCTTCCTCGGTAGGACGCGCCTTGACTCCAGCTTCAATCCCGCTCGGGCCCAAAGTTCTAGTACCATTGATATTCCATTCATCATAGACCTTCTTTTGCACCTCTGGGTCGCCACGGAGGAAATCGCCAAACGACTCAGTGTTGGGCTTGGCACGGAACAGGGAGAGGGTCAAATAATGGTCTTGACAATTTAGGCCAACACCTGGGAGATCCACCAACGGCTTCACTCCAACCTTGCGAAGCTTCTCCGGGTCGCCAATCCCAGACCGTTGCAGGATTAGTGGGGAGCTCAGAGTACCGCCGCAGACGATGACTATTTCCGAGCTTTGTAGATGGTCGGTTTATTCTGTCGAGGATGTAATGGCTTGGTAGGCACTGTCTGAACACCCACCGCAATACCATCTTCAATGACGACTTTGTCAACCTTCGTGTTGCATTTCAGGTGCAAGTTGTCGTATTTTGGCCTGAAAATCATCATAATCTGAAGCCGATGCATGGGTGTACATCTTGGCGAGGTCAGCGAATGAAGTTACCCTTGTTGTAGGTAACGTGCCATAAGATTGATTGAGCTACCACCACCAAGGATGTGCGCACATGGTACGACGGCACGTAGGGCATCAAACCACTCATATGGCCGAGAATAGTAGAAGGTCGCTGTTTTTGAGTCAAGTCTGACATGTCAGCTTCCCATCATGAAGGAGAGATTGGGCTGGAATCACTTCATGTTCTTAGGGTAGATCTCCGGCTGGTAGACCCTGTTTTGTTAAGCAATGCCGCAGGACATAAGAAGCATCTCCCTCCCTCCATGGATTGTTCAGATTATCCTCGCCTGCCTCGATCAGAAGCACCTGAAGGCTGTGATCTAAGTTGGCAAGACGTCCTGCAGGAACGCAGCCAGCACTGCCAACCCCCCACAATGATAATATCGACTTTCTTCATTTTGGAGATCGCAGGTTTTCAGACTGAGGAACAATAATGAAAACGAAGGAGAGAGAGCAACGAGCGCCAGGACATTTAAAGAGCACAGAGCCCTGCATCATCAGACGACCGCTTGGGGAGTTAACATTCTGTGCCTGCGTCTTTTCCAGATGTTCTTGCTCCGACCACATTGAGGACCGAGCAGCCTTTCTCCACGTACATGCGTGAGAGTACTCCTCCTCTCCCTCTACCGCAGCTTGAACAATGCTGCGGGTCAGGTCGTAGAAGGCCAAATATAGGCTAGAATCTTTCCCTTGGCCCACATTGTGACACAAAGATTGGGGGATGCAGAGGGTTAGACATGGGAAAGACGGGAATCAGCTGCGAAATAAGCAGGGTAGGTGAAAATGTGCACACATACAGCAACAGCCAATGGCGAAATATAGAAATCACTCTGCATTAGCCAGAAGAGCCGCTAACATCAGTGAATCAAGTAGTCACGTCAGAACGTCAGAACGTCAGAACGTCAGAAACGGGAGGTTATGTTGATATGGTTCCTAACATAGTCGAATCATATTGCTTCTCCATCAATGAACAATATGGTATGACGGCCATACGTGTGTACATCTTTCAAAGGCCACTAGCTTAACTCATAAACCCAGACGAAGTTTCCACAGCGACCAGGACGAGAGTGCCTATGGATTGCTGTGGACGATGTAAGAGGCGTCTTGCACGTTGACCAATGCTAGTGTAAAGGGGACGGACGTTGTAAAAGATACCATAGCCATCCTCGTCTCCATGGGGTTCAAGCTGTGCTGGAAACCAACGCTATATCCCGAGAAGAACTTGCCCAGAAAGGTCTCGAATAGGACTTCACTGTTGTAACACATAAGAAGACGAACGGATACTCGTGCATATGCAATATCCGGTGCATTAAGTTTTGTAATCATTCTTGTCCGACCAAGGCCGTGCACCAGGCCGGATCACTTGGGTGATTGGCAGGCAATCCCCCCGTGGCACCATTCGTTTCCATCCTGATCTCGATTGCTTCCAGTGAGCCTCCGCTCGATCAATGAGGGAAGCATACCCACGCAGCCGCCGATACAGGCAATACATAGCTTTCATCTTCAATTGGCTTCTGATTGAGGAGGGTCCTTCCAAGATGAAGAAATCGACTCGCGTCAGCAACCAATTGATCTTCTACCAATGCCCTGGTTTGACTCAGTGAATGTTGTCAGATGTCTGCCGCTATTGCATCGGTAGCTTCGTGACCTTGAAACAAGGATGAAATTGATGAAAGCGGACCAAAGAGGTATTATTGAGGCTGTAAGTCTGTAGTTTTGTACCTGCTCGAGCCGCAGCTGATCAGCCAGCTTGTTGTCGCCTCTCGTCCAGTATCTGTTTTCTTAATTCCTCCACGGCCACCTCTGCCTCAAGAATTCTTCCAATACTACGCCTCCAAGTCTCCTCCAGACCCGTCATTTCACCTCTAGAACCTTCTTGAGCTGCTTTTCTAGACTTGTTGACATTTTCCGTAGCAGCCTTGAGCCCCTCCAGCTCTTTCTCGAGTTGAGCTAGGATATTTTCCAGTTGGGAGTTTCCAATTAACCAAGCATTTTTACCCAACTCTTCCAGTAATGATAGATTCGATATTCGTCCTGAAAGGTAAATGCTCGAGGTGTACGCCTTTTGCAACGACCGCTTCCAAGCTTCGGTATTGTTGTCATCAGAAGGACCTTCTGGTTCCTCATAGCGAGAAAGATCAACGCCGCCTGTAATCGGTTGCCCAACGGCCTTCCTTTGGAGCTCCTGTTGAATCAATTCGGAAGCATTGAAATTCGGTTCGGGAGGTATAGAGGGATGAAGTGTGCTCCGTGCGTCCGGAGGTAACTCTGCTGCTATTAATCGACTGATTCGGGTGCGCTCTTTCTCTGAGACATCATTATCAATATCTAGAAGAGATTAATCGAAGGGTTTCATATCCATCAATTCGCATGATGCTTACATGGAAGCGAGTCGTGCGACTCTTCAATCAGTGGCATAGTACTTGATTTTGAAGTCACAGATCGAGTAATGGTCAAGTAACCGAATCATTAATCGTCAACAATCTGCTGTGTACCAAGTACTAGACGGAACATGCCGAGAGCGCAATGCCTACTGCCAAGTGTTACTACTATGCAGACATTAAGTATTCCAAACCCCATTTACAAGGTTCTTTCATCTACACTATACTAAGATTCTCATATAAACTATTCTTCTTCGTTGAATTCTGTGACTTCAGTAATCTAGAAGTGCCTGCTCTCATAGATAATGCCTCATGAGCTAGTAGTGCAGCAGCATCAAAAGATGTGGTTGCGGCAAGATCCGGATTGGTTTCCAAGCTCTTCCGCCTCCAGCAGCAGCAGGAATAAGGTGAGCACGAAATGCCTGTGGTATCTATCCAAAGAATGAAGAGAATAAAACGTGTCTGGTACTGCACCCTACAGAAACCCAAGCTTTCTTACTACATAAGGTGAATAACGCGGACTCGGCTGCAGGGAAACCTGATCAGGACGCCCTGGTTCGATTATAAATGGTCATGATTACAGGTAACTTACGATTTCAAACCCCATTCCAAATGTCTTCCTTGTCAATCTTCGTACTCGATCCTTCCCTGACAGTTTCTCTGCTGGGCAAATCATGAAAACGCTTGTCTCTTCGTAGATGTCCTAGCCAAAGTCTAGCTAGGAGGTGCACATTTTAGACAAGTCGCTACATCGAGGCCATTGGGCTTCAGCCTCTGACCCTCTACGGGTTTTATGGTCAGCGCCGTTTGCGTTGGCCTGTTCACGAATCGCCCCGTGTGCTCATCAAGTCGCTGGCACAAGAACGTGTGCTGCTGACAATGGCAGCAGAGCTCGTCGAATAGCGAATCATATCTCCTCCACAACATGGTCACCATCTTCAGCATGAAACCAGGGAGGCACCATTGCACACTTTCTGTCAGCAAAAAAACGCGTATTCGGTGCATGCAGATACCCGCAAAACTGCGCCAACAAACCGTTGAAATCCTTGGAATGCAAATTATCAAAGCGGATGGCTGCGATCGATGCCAGATGGGAAAGGATTTTGACAGAGCTTGGGGCACATATATGAATTTGAACTCGGATGACGTGGTAAGCTATCGTCAATCCAAAACCGTTCTTCATTAGCAACTTCGTCGAGGCTGACCATTAAACCTTCAAAGATTCCGTGGAGATCCAATGCCCAGTGAGTCTGATTGGGGCAAGAACATCGTGGACCAAGGTGTGGCCGCTGCAGTCAAGCACCTTGTCTTCGATTATGAGCCGCCATGTACTGAGATGACGTGTGGGAAGGTCAGCATGAAAGCTATGGACAATGACTATCGTGCACATCTTGAATTCTTGGGGTGCGGTAAGAGCACTAAACTTGAAGGAGGCCGGTGAGAGACAGTTACCGGCAGTAAAAGTACAAGGTCGGACAATGCCTCCAAGAAGTAGGCAAATTTGAAACGGCTCCTTTCATTGACGCGGAACGGTTTATGGAGAACTTGCCGGTGAAGGACGTCGCACCCGTCTTCGGCGGATGCGCGTTCCTGCCGGATGAAGGAAGGCAACCTTTCACTCAAGATGCCTCGGAAGGGATGGAAAGGGGGACTTATCGTGGCTTAGTGTCTCATGTGCCTTTGCGGATCTGGTGCGTGGCATCCTTCTTGACCCTTTACACCCATGAATGTGGAAGGCCCGAGGCGATGCCGTCACATTAGTTTGGGTGGCCCCACCTTAGCAAGGGGTAGGGATGGGGATCTCTGACGATAGTAATGTCAGCGGGCCGTCAAGAACCCCGATTACACCCTCCTCATAAATCTGCTAAAAGCGCTAGTTAGAATGTTTCTATCGACAGGGTGTAAAGAAGAGGAACAGCTATCCACCTATCTGTCGTACACCGGCGGTAATTGTATAAGCGTCACACGACCACTGAGACGCCAAAGAATACAATTCTCAGAGCATTATAACGGATTGATGCCCGAAATCGTTAGGAGATGGTCATGTAGAACATCTTGACTGCGCGGATTTCTGAGTCAGTGGTACTTACTCGCCCTTTGATGCCAGAGAGGCGGATAGCCAGTATCTACGCTACTATTTTCACATTTGAGGCTTGCATAACGTAGGGAAAGTCCGACGAGACCACCAGTTCTTGGAGACCATGGCACATGACAATCCATATGCTCTATCACGACTCAACAGGTACCCTTTTACAATCACCACGCGCTTGAGCAATTGTTCTAAAGTGTCTACCGATATGTCAGCAACTGTATAACCGAGGCTTTCGTCTCGTCGTTTTTCATAGACCCATCCCTGGTCCCACCAAATGTCACATAGGCCTCTAGTCTTCATAGCGTTATGTAACTTCCCTTCGTATCCCCAAACACGGCAACATCCGAACAGGGTAATTCATCGAGTAACCTCCTCAAACCTTCCTCCGCTCATACTCCATGACCTTGGCACAATAATCCGCCTTATCGCCATCGCTGACCAACTCGACCACATGCAATGCAGCATCCAAGCCGGAGCTGACCCCGCCCGCCGTCACGATCCTCAGCCCATCCCTGGCCAAACCCGCATCGACGAATCTGCGACCACCAACCACCTCCGTCTTCTTGCCAGTGTTGTCCTTGTTGCAGACCTCGTCCAACACGTCCAAAAACATATGATGCGTCGTCACCGTCAACCCAGCCAGCACGCCCACCTTACCCAGCAGGAACGCCCCTGTACACACCGACATCAAGACACGCTCCAGCCCGGTACCGTCCTGGGGCGGAGCCAACTCGGCAAACTCCCTCACCACCCGCAACTCCAGCCCATCCGCCTGATCGGCCACCTTCTGCACCACGGCGGGCGGCCCGCCCGGGACGACCAAGATGTGGTAGCTCGGCAACGTGTCGAGCAGTTCCTCGATCAGGATGCTGGGCTGGATCTTGAGCGGGGCGGCGTCGCCGGTGGGGATGGGCACGTCGGTTGCGCGGCCCGTGGTGTGGATTTCGAAGATGGGCTCCGGGGCGGCGCGGTCGCGGTTCCAGGTTGCGTGGGAGAGGGCCTCGATGGGGCCGGCGTAGTCGAGGATGTCGGCGTTGGGGAAGAGGAGGACCGCGACGCGGTAGATGGGTCTGTTGTTGCTCGTACTGTTAGAGGACATCTTGGCTGAGTCACGTGAGGGAGAGGGTAGGATTGTTTTTTTGGTTTCTTGCACCAGATCATTCGATGGAGGAAGAAAAGATCTTTAAACAATCATTCTTCCCAATGTGGGGCAGACCATCATGATTTTATGGAGGGACCAATCCATAATATGCTCAAATCTGCTCATCTTTGTCGCTTGCTTAGTAAGTTTATTCGAATACGTAGTACAGAATTTGCCGGTATCCGAGATACTGAAATTGTGGCAAGGCGGCCGCACCGTGATGCATTACTACCACAGACATCCCAGCCACCACAGCGGTGAACTGTGTTATGTAACCCAGCAAACAGTACTAATGATTTACTATTAGCAGCTAACGATACGTCCACCGGCACACGGATTGTACGCGTCCCGGTGACCCGGAGCCACGCACAGTTCCCTTCTGACACGCACAATACGGACAAAACCGTCCAGGGTACTCCTACCTTCGGCAGGGCTGGCTCCTTCATACCGGCATGTCAATCGCGCTCATGGTTGTTGGTACTTGGTGCTGCATGAACTGGTGCTACGAACTGTGGATCAGCCTAGATCCACTTGTCACACCGGCTGTGGGAGGATACTTAACCTTCATTGTCTAAAAGGTCATTTGGAAAAGGTCATTTGGAAAATGTTGCTGCTCAAACGACGCTACTAATACGGGACTTGTTGGGCTCAGTAGATTTTAGGTTTCAAGGCTTCTCCGAGTTGCCATGTGAGCCAAGCTGTGGTCTCTGGTCCGCTGCCGCTGACGAAGATGACGATAACCGTGTCGCAATTCGTCGTCCTTGCGGCGCTAAATTGATTGAGGCAGCACTGGAAAAAGGTCCTCTTAAAGCGAAGCTTGCGGGTAACCCTTGGTCGAGAGTGGACGAAGCACGATTGTTTTGTGGACGCGTAGGCCTGCTTAGTTTTTGTGAAGTGAGATGTCCATTGGGACATCGAAGTTCCTTAGCTGTGTCTCGGTCGCCACAAATGGTAGAGCCCCGTGTCTGCGGCCGAAGATGACAGTTCGTGCTGACTTGAGACAGGAGGTTGGTGCTCCAGCGGTCGGCCTAGTTGCTGGCTCCTCTGGTGGCGGCGGTGCTGGTTGTCATCTTTGGCCTTTTGTTGGGGCCCAAGTAAGATATGCTCGGCTGGAGGTTACACTTGATACTAGGCAATCTGAGGATGGCCATGATCGAAACGGAGGTCGGAACCCTGGTGCTCGGTAGAGGCGGGTGAGACGAACGTGAAATCGAAGAATCTTCGTCTGGCGTTGCCGGCATGTAGCTTCAAACTGATGCTGTCTTGAATCCTTTGCGGGCCACAAGATACGAGGAGTTGATACTCATGGCTGCAGTGCTCCGCCACTGTAGACTCTGCCAGGTCTGACACTGAGTCAGAAGACAGGAACATGTTGAAAGCATCATCGATCTGGTTGCCCAGAGGCTGATCCAGCATCATGCCATCGTTTGCCGCTTCACAGACTTCTGTGGTCTGACTCTCGGACTCAAGAGAATTTGATGTCGGCGTCAACCCTTGCTTCACATTCTTCGGAAGTCCCAGAGATCCTGCCGCAACAGCAGCTCCAAGCTGCTCAAGCCTTTTACGTATCTTCTGTCCTGCTGCCGTCAGTATCCATGTGGCGAAACGAAGGACGGTCACTGTCTGCTTGTGTTTCCTCTGAGAAATGCGATTCTATAGCCTACGTTGCGTACTCGATTCCTGAACCTTCGTCCAGTCTTCATCGTCTTGGATCGTCGACTGCGCCATGTTACTCAGGGGGCAACTGGCCCACCCTAGGGTTGCTATAAAGAGGACGTTTGTTCCCTCAGTGATCACCACGTCAACGGCATTTTATGTTAATACTGATGGGCCGAGACGGAGACGCTGTGCAGCTGTGGTTGTTGGTCCCTTGGTCCAGGCTAAGCTGAATTCACGCGAGCCCGCAAAAGACGCCACCGAAGGCATGAGAGTGTGATTGGTACATCAGTAGTAACAACATCTGATACCAGAATCATACGGGAAGTAACGGGCCAAAACCAACAGGAGTGTTGTACCAGCATCATCTGTACCTGCTTCCTGTTGGGGATACGCAAAAGATGTTCGTGGGCCCCATATTCAATCACGATGCGACGTAACATTGCGCATATCGTGATCAGGTACCGGCTGTTTCCCGTGTCAACGCATCCTGTGCCGCTTCGTAACTATATTATGGGGGTGTGCATCAAAAGTCTTTGATATACGCTCACTGATACTAGCTCTTCTCGTATGCCTAGAAAGCCGGACCAATCATAGATCGTGTGGCACAAGATCTGCCTTCTGGGAGTCCTTTAACGTCACGGTGGCCAACCCTTCCCTGTGATGTCGATCGTGACTCGTGATCACCTTCAACAGCAGCAAAGAGCGGGCTGAATAATGCCATTCCTTGGTGGGACTGATCCTACAGGATTCCATGCACAAGTTTGCAGAAAATGAGTTATAGTGCGCAGATTATAACTTTTCAACCACAGTTGCAAAGCAAAGCCGACTAATCAGCCTTTCTCACACCACCAGGGGGTGCAGGAGTTCATTTCACCACTATTTTTTGGAGAGGCCCCAGGTTGTGCCTATAACCACTAAAATGTGGGGTCCTACTGCACAATTTAGAGCCTAGGCAGAAATTGTGGTGAAATGAATTCCTGCACCCCCTGGTGCTGCAGGTTGGCTCCTTAGTGTGGTGAAATGAATTCCTGCACCCCCTGGTGACACTACCAGGAGGCTGAAGTAATCGCGAATTTGTAGGCTAAAAACTAGCACTGACCTAACATTATTCGGGCCTTCCCGGTAGTACGAAGTTAACGAGTCCCCTAAATGGATCAAACCCCTGAAAAACGTATTTTACTGCCTGTGTGGTCGGCTTCACACTAAAATACGCCTTTCCACAGAAAAGGGATACATCAACCACTCCGCCAAAAGGACAGCGCCAATGGGTTTCGAACCACACTTAGTTGATGTTCCCTCACTGACTTCCACGGCACTGAGCATCGGTCTTAGTGTTGTCTCTTTTTGTACCGACCTGCTAGTATTCTGACGCGACAGCATGCAGAAACGACTACATGTAAAGGACAACCCTTGGATGATGTTGACACCGAACGGCACACGCGCCTTCATGTAGGACTTCGGGATAACGAAAACCCCATGTCGATTCATTATTTGCTTATTAACCTTAGTAGGGAAGCTGACAACTGTCATCCGGAGTCCATCACGTGGAGTTGAGTCATCAACCACTGCAAAGTGGCCAAGGGTTTGGAGCCGCTTGCGCAACGCACGGCACCTGGTCAGCCGCATTACGATGAATCCCGCAGATATGGCTTTCAGTAAGGACCTACTCACACTTCTCAAATCTAGCTCTTCAACGGACTTGAGCTGTCGATTCAGACGTGAAGCAGCTCAATGATGGCTCCCACAAGCGAGGCTTTAAGCAACAATGGCCAACCCACGGAAGCGGACCTGCTCAACCTTCACAAGGATGATCTGAGTGCACAATCGCTTGACCTGAAGGACCATCATGGTAAGCACGCTTTGGACATTTTTGGAGAGGCTTGTCCTTATGTTCTAGTCAACTCTTGCTGACGGTTCTATGCTGCATGTACAGTTTCCGCCAGTCTGGGTCTGTTCATCATACATAATGTCGTCCGTCGAAATCTCCTAGCATGCTTCGAAAATGCCCAACAAGTGAACGCAAGCAATATAGGCGCATTCGGTACTTATGTCAATTACACGATGTTTGTGCTAGAAGACCAGCTAGACGCTACTGACACAATCTGGTTCCCTACGTTTGCCAAGTATAACAGTCGCTTTGGCCAGCAAATCGCCGCGCATAAGGCGCTGAAACCCAAGATTCAGGAGCTTAAGCTTCTGCTCCATCCAAGGAAAAGCCTGTAAGCTTGGAGCAATTGCCAAAAGAGCAAATCGCAAACGGCTTCCGTGAGCTTCATGATCTTGTCAATCACGAGTATGATAAAGAGGAAGAGCTGTCAAATAGCCTTGGGCATCGAGTACCTATCGATGAAATCCAGAAGTTGGAGAAACAGCAGGGAGCCCGCCGATTGGCTGCTGTCAAGATATACGGACACTTTTGGTGTGCGGTATACCTTTTAAGAAGTCTCAATCCAAAGGAGAGGGCCATCTTCCCGCCCGGTCTCCCCAAGGTCGTGGCGAGTGGCATGATGACGGCTGGTGCTTTTCAGTTCAGAAAGTACGTTCATTATAATCTGCCCACTGCACACTCAAGGGTTTAGACTGAAGCTGACATCATACGTTGAAGGGAGTTACAGTTTGCGCCTAAATTTTGAATGCAGAAGCATTTTGACGTATTGATTGGCTGGATACTGAGCATGGACCTTCTGTTCTCTGCAAATCATTGTTGCCCCGGATCTCCGACATGGGTGCTAATATGTGAAGCTCTTGCTGTAACAAGTGTCATAGCTTTTTCCTGGTCACCTGAGTTTCTCTGCAGACAGTAATCAGTTGGTACACTTACAGCCTCCCATCGGAAGGCCGTATGATCCTGCATCCAAGGTATTTGACTTCTTGAGGCTAATTCATATCATAGGGCGTGATCAAAAGCATCGATGCCCCTAAGGAGGCTCCCACCACATTATCTCGTCACAAGAGGTTGACGCCTTACAAGCATTTCGTCTACCCTAGTACCCATGTAGAAACAGCCCGGCTGCATCGTCTATCGCACCATTTCAATTGAGGCTGTATGTGACCTGACCAGAGGCACACGTCTAACCGCTGAAGCTCTTTGACCAAGATATTACACAACGGCTAGAAGATCATGGAGCAAGTGATTAGTCATCGCATCTGATAGATGCAATTTTACCGTCTGGGCCCAATGCTCAATTGTTCTCTTCTGTACGAATTATTCTTAAGAGTGCATCCATTTTTAACTTACTGTTCTTCTCCGAATTATCGTTTAGAGTGCAGTCGAAATCAAACCCAAGATGGGCCAACATCATCTTTGAGTTGGACCTTGAGCGGAATCTGTTCGATATATTCCCACAATACCTCATACGTTGGTGATAGTCTGAAGTTACGCTGCGGGCATCATGGCACTACCAATCGCAATCACTCGTATTATTCCGATGCAGGACGCCACCATTCTGTCAAGACTGCGAGTTGCGTATGTCTTTTCGAACTTGAGCCTGCTGGGCATCGGCTTCTACATATATCTACGCATCACGAGAATTAGTACGGAGCGTTCCTCTTGGAAGATTGGTTACAAGAGACTTTGTGTTGGCAAGCTTCCAGCTGACAATGCCGCACGGGGACAAAAAGGCCTCGACTTCAAACGTTTCCCATCATACAGATCGACACATGTTGGACGGCACGACCGACATTGGCTTTGGAGGCATTACAAGAGTATCTCACGCAGCTTTATTCTTCTTTGGAGTGCTCCATCTGTATCTAGGCAAATCGAAAGTCCTGGTCCTTCAGACACTGCTGCCTCTGTCCAGATTCGTGAAGAGCAACCTTTTCAAGGTACATGTACTCGGGCGTCCGGCGACTGGACCGCTTGAAAGGCCATGTAAAGATGATAGTATACTGCAGACAATCAAGAAGCAACGGGGTGCGGTCTGTTCCCCGCAAGAAAAGAAGAAACTCAACGGTAGCAAGATATTCGTTGATCAGAGGAGCATGGGCTCATAACCTACGATCAACAAAAACGACACAATCCTGGGTTCGTCCGAACAATTCGAGTCTCGAGGCATGCTAAATGCCAGGAGATTAGACATACTACTAAATTCAAACAGCTATAGCTCCACCCATAGCTCTAAATGGACTCGGACAAGGAGCATTCTATTTAGCAGGCCTTAAATAACGTTGATGTAGGTCTACTTGACTCTATACGCAAGGCTGCGAGCTATTCCGACGTGCTGAAGTCAATAGTAGCCTATTAACGCGTAGGATGACCCTGTTGAGTAGAAACTGATCGCATTTCTTAGCGCCTTTCTGTTATGTGCCCCAAGCATGCCAAGCGCGTACCCTGCACACAGTATGAGAGCCAAGAGGACTCTGGTTGGATTACGCATCTTCTTCGTTGTTCTGCGCATTAAAGGACTTAGGAGGATCCTCTACTAGATATCCTTCTTTTTGTACGGAGTACATAGATTCTAGTTCTTCGCGCTCAATAAGTCAATCCATTGAACCCCTACTGTTCTATTGCCCTTGCACTCCCCTGGGATCCTAACAAGAACGCGTAGAATTCATAGGATATTCGCAGGATAAGCAAGATTTGCAGGATGAGCAGAGTGAGCGTGCTGAATAGCGACAGGGGTGCTGACAAGGAAGTGTTTGTAAAGAGGACGTTTGGTAAGAAATTATGATTAAGGGGTTATAAAAACTCCGCCTGATACCGTAGTAATCCACAAACATGTCAAAGCGTGTCGTCTTGTAGCATCTACGCTAAAATTGCAGTGCAGGCTTCTGGGCATTGGATGGAAGAGGTCGGAGTCTCGAGTCTGTGATATTCAAGCTAGAGGGCTGGGCGCTAGCACGTGACTGGCTTGGCATAACTGGCCAAGCCATGTCACATGACACTCTTTCTATATTGTTGTAGCTACTCGTAACTAGAAAATCGGACACCTTCTTTACTTCTGATTTCACAAGTCTACAGAATAGCGCTGCCGCAACTTTAAATGATTTGAAGTATGCTTTAGCGGAAGATTTTGCTGTAGTCTTAGCAAGAAGAACAAAAAAAATTTACTCTTTCTTCTTACTTCTTCTATAGAACCCTAATGCTTGGGCCTCAGACGTGGCGCATACTGAATTAGTAAGCAGCTTAGCCACAAGCACGTCTGAAAGGAACTGAGGCAAAGTGGTTACTGGGGTCGTTGGAAGATGCCTAATGCTGACTTCAGCTGACTACACGCTAGCCTGAACCGGTAATCAACCGCTTCGGCTGCACATCAACATCCGCTACCCGGAGTATCAAGTCGTCCTGCATGGGCCTACTCCGTCAGCTTCAGACCTCAGCCCCTGCGAGTCTCTGCCTAATGCAATCGATTGATCGAGGCCCGTTGATGCTTAACTAGTGATTGGACCTGCATCCAACTAGGTCTCGTGTTTTTGGGACCCACTCAGGCAGCCATTTACGGGTTGGAACAGGCCTTTGCAGCCTCTTTTTGCATACCTTGAGCCTTGCCATACTCACATAGACACCTACTGTAACCGAAAGGCTTGATCAAAAATCTGCCCTCACGGAGGATCGCTCTACCTTGGCATCAAATCACTGAGTCTGAAATCATGGCGCCTCTCTCACAAACGATCCTCTCTTTGGCACCCTATCACCTCATCTCATGGGGCACACTGCTCGGAACCGAGCTGTATCAGGTACTTTCAAGGCTGGAAGACATGTCCATTCGCACGCTAACCACGTTTCCCCCACCCTTCTGCAGAGCTTCATCATGACCAAACTCTGCTTCCGCTATCTGCCACGCCCTCAGTTCACCAACCTCAACAAACATGTCTTCCCCGTCTACTTCTCCCTCCAACTCGGCCTCGTCCTGCTGACCGCGGCGACATATCCGCCCCAGAGCCTCCTCTCGCTCGTCCGCCAGGGTCACTGGAGCGAGTATATGCCCTTGGCGCTGAACGTGCTGATGGCGGCCCTGAACGCCGGTGTGTACGGGCCGAGGACGTTGAAGCTGATGGTTGAGCGCACACACCAAGAAACCCGAGACGGAGCACGCAAAGCGAGACCCGACGTTCCGGCTCAGGACCGCGAACTGCCCGAACAGCAGCAGACCGACACCGTCGTCTCGGACGCCATGAGACTCCTGAAACGCACCTTCTCGACGAGCCACGCCATGGCGATCCATCTGAATATGATCGCCATGATCGCCACGGTGTGGTATGGCTTCTCGCTTGCTTCCAGGGTTCAATTCACGCTCGAATGACTATCACCACCGTCAAAGAAAAGAAATCCAAGGGCGTGATGCTCTGAATCATCTGCTTCCCACGTCCCGCAGGCCTAGTTCAGGCTGGCACCGCTTCGAGAATCTCTTCCGTGCAACACCTTCTAATCCACCAGTCACATAACAACCTCGTTCTCCCTTCCCCTTAAGCAAAGATTTTCCCACGAAAACCAAACAAACTTGCCGCCCCTTCCTCTTACGGACTCCACCTAATCTCAATTTGGCAAGCTCATCAACGGAAACCGATTCCCTCTATGCCACCTTTGCTCTCTCTCTCGCTCTCGCTCGCTCTCCAGCCACCTGCTATCGTTCTCTCCTGACATATGAACTTTTTCGAATTAGCGTCGCTGATAGACGGAGGGGGGCGGAGCGGTGATGTGACGTGCAGGTCGAATGGCTGGAAGGGGCCAAATCACGTACGATGGCTCGCTTGGGGGTTTACCCATTATTGAATTCTATGAAAATGAGATAGCCGTTTTGGTGTGAGAAAACCCCAAATAAAGCATCATGGGGGAAGAGGGGGGGAAAGGGGACTTATTCCCTCACCGAGCCACTTAAATCCATTTAGAAATACAAAGAATTGTGCCTGGGACACGTAATACACCGGGACCAACCTTCATTATTTTTTCTCCGTTCCGGATTGGTAAGATCATTTCAAGAACGTATATGCTGACTGACTACCTTGGCATTTAACTCCCTCCCCCCGGTTTTACTTCCGGAGCCTCAACTCAATGCCAGTGCCCCCCTACGGGCCCCCCCTCCCATCTCTCTCCTCCCAAATCTTATCCACCACCAACCTTTCATCCGTCGCTCGACAGAGCTCTTCCCGCTGCTTCCGCGTGCGCTCCTTCGCATTCAGTCTCATCGCCATGTGGATATCGAGCATGCTGAACATGCGGATGCTTTCCGAGCCGAGCAGGTCGGGGATCACGGCGTCGTCGATGAGGATGCGTGATCTGGTGGGGTGCATGGCAGAGATGATGTGGCGGCGCATGCGGATGTATGCGCTAGATGCTAATGTCAGTGGACGGAAAGCCAAAGACGGGAGGAAGGGAGGGAGGGGGCCACGTTTGCTTTTACCTATCCGGATGGTCGTGCAAAATAAAGCGGAACAGATACACATCGGCGTATTTGACCGGCTGCACCTCGAAAAAGTCATGCGCAATAAAGCTTACCCTCCCCTCTACCTCGTCCGGTAACCCGCTGCTCCGGGTAACCTCAACGACACCAGCCTGGTCCTGCACCAGAAACCTCAACCGGGGAATCTTTTCCGCAATCCGGGTGCTGACCTGGCCCAACCCGCCACCGACATCCACAATCAGCGCATCGGAGGGCAGTTCTTCTTCAAAGGGGTAGATATCCTCCGTCAGGCATCTTGACCATCTCGCTCCCCGCCATCCCCAGTGCGAAGCGTTCCCCGCGCTTCTGATCAACGCTGCTGTAGTAATCGAACATGCCCAGCTTGGTGTTGAAGGCGCGGCTGAACGCCGAATCTGCCGGGTTATCGATGGTTTGAAATCCATTGTCGCAGAGCGTTTCGAGGGAGGGGCCTGCTGCCCGCAGTCCGTCGTCGCAGCAATAGTGCACCAGTGCCGCGATTGGGGGAGCGAGTCATCCCGCCGACACGGCATTGTGACGGTATTGGCCAGGGGCTACTTCTTCGCCCCAGAGGCGCTGCGTGCACACGCGCAGTACCCGCTCGATGATATCTCTCGATGCGCCGGTTCGTTCGACCAGTTCGTCTAGCGAGGTAGGTTCCTCTCCTTAAGCGATGTGCTCGTACACGTTGAGCTCGAGCGCGATCCCGACGCAGGCCGCATCGACGAATGCCATGTTCTGATGCAGCCCCCATTCTACCGGTCCATGGACCACAGCCATCAGCTTGGCTTCCAGACGGTTCTGGTAGGTTTCGACGGAACTGAAGATGATTTGAGTGAGGACTGTTAGGTCTTCCGTTTGGGAGGCTGTGATTATTCTCCCCCCGTCTTTTAGCTCTCCGTTTCAGGTTTCCATTCTCTGTGGCCGTGACTACGTCCGTGCCATTCTTGAGATTTTCACCTTGCAAAGTTGTAACTGGCTCTGTACCATTTGTCCATTCTTCGACTTGCATGGCGGTGCTTGCTTTCTCACCCTTCACCGGGCCTGCCGTTCGTGGGGCTGTATGGTCTATTCTGCTGCCATTGGGCTGGTGGTCTTCGACATGCGAGGGTGGGACCGCTTCTTCGCCATTTCCTAACTCTTGGGTATTTGTGCCGCTACGTCTGATTTGGCGCCGTTCGTTAGATGCTCGGTCCATGTGGCAGTCGGTCGTACGTCGCATTACTCAGACTTTCAGTCTGCATAGTGTCTTCCTTCGTGCAATGTGTAGAGTGATGAGTCTGGAGCGGTGTGCGTGCTGGAGTCATTGGGCTGTTGTTCTTGGGAATGCGAGACTATCACCACATCAACACACTTTTGGGGGCCTTCAATGTGTGTTGCTGTAACTGCTGTGACCGCTGTGACCCCATTTGACTCCACTGCGAGAGACTCAAGTCGTGGTATGTAGGGAGTGAGATGGTTCTACTATTACCCTGTGAGCCAACCCTACGCTCTTATGTTAGACCAGGGGAATGAAATTCATTCATGGGAGGTACAAGCTGAGACTGAGATTTTGCCTGAGTGAGTATCCCGACACGAAAGGAAGCATTCATTGCCCAGAAGTCAAAGTACTTATCTTCCACATCTTAAGCCATATGCTGCATCCAGATGGATCTGGAGTAGTCATTGTTGGTTTCTGATGGAAGACTTAGTCAGGATAGCATTCCCCAACTCCGTCTAAGGCTTGTTATCGAGTGAGATGACTGTAGATTTGGCGGAGTCAGCAGTATATGGAAGCTGGTTGCCCCCAAATACGAGCGGGTTGCCTGCCTTGATTAGTCTCTTAAACAGTACCATCACGAGTGTCAGCCGCTATCGTGATTGGACGTCCGTTGCAAAATCTTCCGAAACATCCTGCTGTCAATGCTGTCGACAGCCAACACGCCCTCGAGTAGATTCCGCCTCACAGCCATCGTGAGGTTCAGGTTGCATCCGGCATACAGTGTATGCATACGAATCGCCCATCAGACCGCCGTTCCACCGTTTCCCGTGGACCCTGCTTCAGATGTACAGGTGAACAATTTATGACAAAAGTCCTTGACCCAGGCGCAGCCAACGGCCCCCATGCCTAGTACGGTGCATTGCGAAAGTGTTGCGAATCCTTGGCGGATGTGCGGAGTTCAAGTTCCTATCAAAGAAAGTAGGATTTACTATGTAAAAGAATCAACTTTGTTAATTAGAATCTGCAGTATTATTTATCTGTATCAGAAGAACCAGGTGAAGCTCAGTAATACTTTGACATAGAAAACATCTAAATAACTTGTCTATTTATTAAGCCCCTATCAGCTGTTTCTGTTTGAGGGCGCAGGGAGCCAGGCAACTTGAACTTCGCACATCCGCCAAGGATTCGCAACACTTTCGCAATGCACCGTACTAGGCATGGGGGCCGTTGGCTGCGCCTGGGTCAAAGTGGATGTGGAAGACACATTAAGGTTTTCCGAGCAATCTATTGAGACGCGAAGGATTTTGAGCAAGGCACCAGGCCGTGATATGGTTTGAAGCTAGCTTAGACGGTTAAATAAAAATGCACACCATGAAAAGTGGTCTGGATGAACTTAGTAAGTCATGGCCAAAAGGGAAGGATAAGTCTCGGCATGATTTGAAAATGTCAAAGATCCCACCAGCGCATGATATGATACAATAGAGGGACATGTTTTCCTGAGCGCAGCAATGTGCACGTTTTCCGTATGACAAGTCTGGGTTACACCAGGAGTGGCTCAATGCAGACCAAACGTGTGTGAATGAAATGTCAATAAGGCAACTAACTGATCCTGTGAAAATCCCTTCTCTCCCTTGAAAACCAACATGAAAAGCGTATGACCACCTCTAATAGTCACAACATTCTATCATCATCTTTCTCGGTCCCACCTGATCAATTTCTGTATAGACGTCAACATATGAGAACAGATCGTCCACCTTTCCACCATCCCCAGGGTAGACTACAAACAGCTGCACAGCAAGCGAGCAAATAGGGGAGACGGTAAACACCGAGTGAGATGGCTTTGAGGTAGTCTTTTCAGAGTTCGGAGTGTTCATGCCAAGCTGTATGAGCACCTATTGGCCTTATGTCTCTCCAGGACCAAATTTCACTGTGACGCAGGGTCACTATTAAAGCAATAATACCAGCTGCGCAACACTCTACTTGGTGCGGCCGAGAAGTTTTGAATAAATGGGAGCGTTCTGACGAATAAAGGCAACGAATGCTTCTTACAAGAAATAGAGAGCTCCTCTGAACCACAACCTACCTTGTCGGATTTAACTTTTTCCAGAAGATGCAGGGTTATACTGGGCGCGCCGAGTGGCTGTCTAATTGCTTACATAAATGCTCATCTTTTGCCACGCAAAGCTGCGGGTAGCATGATAAACTCCGTCTCAAATCCCAACAGGAGGTTGAAGTAGTAGTCCGAATATCATACCTTTTCTGATGGTGTGGGGGTCACAAGAGATATAAGAGACAAAGAGAATCAGAGAAGAGCCAATTCGGGCTAAAAAAACATACAATAAGTTACGCAGGAGAAACTCATCATGATAACGTCCATAAACAATATAATGTCCATAAAGAATAGTACTGAGTAGGAAATAGTTATGCTTCATTTGTAGTACAGTTCGTCTTTGGGTTGTATGCATATTAAGTGATAAATTCACCATAAGGAACCCTAACAAAACGTGTTGAATGGCATGTGTATGGGTTATGATTGAGTAGATGAAGAAGCTAAGTCTACGTACAAGTTGGGATAAGATAAATAGCAAGTAGTGTGCCAAGGCTAGCCAAGCGCTCCTTCTATGCCCCTCCTATGCTCCTGCAATGTAACAAAATGGCTCCCCAATGCGTAGTAGTAGCTCACCAAGTGAAGCTCCTGATAGTCGCGTGTGTTCCCTCGCCCTTGAAGGCTCAGCTGCCGCAACCGGTAATTCAGCCCAGGGACAATTTTGTGTGAAGAAGCTAAAACCCCTGAAGAAGAAAATCACAAATACTGTGTGTCATGGGCTACATGCGGAGTTGTTCCGGCTGATCTAGATCGCTGCATCGCTTTGATTGTATGTACCGACTTGTGTGGCAATCCCGCATGAAGATGACTCCTCAGCGACTCTTCTGGGGTGAACTGGGTGTAGTCAGTGGGGGGTACATCAATTAGTGTAGTTCAAAACCCACAAGCGCTGTTCTTTTGGTGGAGTGGTTGATGTATCCCTTTTCTGGTGTCACTCTGGATTTTCCTCTGCTCGGCACGGGATACTACGACGCGAGTACGCTAACCACTTTGAGTCTCCCTTGGATAAGTTCTCAGTTAGATCTTATCCCCAATCACACCACCTACCACTGTCAGATCCATCCATGCTGCCCTTACCAAACAATTGAAACGCTGCTCTATCGAGACTTCGCGTGATCCCGTATAGATTTAAGAAGACCACAATTGAACGGTTAAAACGGGGTCATAGGGACTTATTAGCGCAACTTTCCTGTCAAGAACGCCGGGTGTTCCGGATCGCCGAATCTCATATCCCTGGTGCAATAGCTGACATGAACTATTGAAGTCTGCAGAACTCGTTGGTTCCATATCATCGCCCCTCAAGTCACCATCAGTACACCCTGGTTGTCAAGGCACAATGATGATGGTAGAAACCATCATGCCCGAGTACGGAGCACGTCGCCTACCAGTGACTTCGGATCCATTCATTAAAATCGGAAGCGGAACAAGACCCTTTATGGTAACCAAGGAGCTCTCAATGGTACATCGGAATCCCAACCCCATCCCCCCCTCCGCATTGCATATCCGGCAAAACACCGTACCCCAAACAAGTGGTTCAGTGTCACGATACGAGATGCCAGCTGAATAACTATCACCTAGCCGAAGATCTTGCTAATCAGATCGACAATGAGCTTGTTCCTTGTCCCCTTCGCTCCCCTACAATGTGACTCACATAATCCCAGTCGGGATCTGGGATCATTCGCAGGTCGGGTAGGGCACGTGGTAGGAATGACTATAAGACATCAGCCATATTTAAGCAGTTCATCCAGTCACCAGTTTCTTTTTCAATCTACAAAGTCTTCTTCATCAGAGCGTTGAGAGCACAGGTCTTCCAAGTCACGCCCATACTGGTGTGTTCCCCAAACAAAAAAACAATATTCACAATGCTGTCCTCATCGCCAACCACTATGTTCACGAGCCTGGTAACCCTTCTTCTCTTCTCATGGATCTGCACGGTTTATTCCGAGCCCTACACTGGCAACCGTTTCATAATCGGGCTCAACCGACTCAGCATTAGCTATCAGAACTTCACGGTTAGTTTCCTCCCAACAGAACTCCTTGCATATTGTATTTTTACTCTTTTCTTTCTCAACCTATTCCGTCACCTGGCGCCCCCCGGAGGCTTGCACTGAACGCCATCGAAGAAAAAATCTCTCCTGGAAGGCCCTATCAAAATATGATCCAACGTTGTCAGACATTCCGGAATCTGGAGCAATCTCTGCTAGCGGGATATATACTGACTATTA